GGGGGGGGGGCAGTGGGGAGGAGAAGCAGAAGGCCTGGAGCAGTTCAGATTCTAGCTAGCTGCAGTGGGCTTGCCTGCACTACATTCTGGGCCTCAGTTCTGGCCTCTGATCATTGTCCTGCTGCCTTCAGACCCCACACTCCTGGGGGTCCTCCTCACCCTACATTCTTTCTGAAACTCTGCCTCATCTCCCTCCTTGTGGAACACTTCTCTCTCTCTCTCTCTCTCTCTCTCTCTCTCTCTCTCTCTCTCTCTTTCCTAGGACCTTTTTCTGACCTCCCTTGGAGGGCTGGGGAGGCCCGGGCCATAGAGGAGATGAGAGAGGATCTGTTCCTTGGTCTTTTGCTTCTGAGACTGCTTTGGGAAGTTCCAGGTAAGACCGGGAGTCCTGGAAAAGCCAGCGGGGACCTGTATGGCCTGTCTCTTTAGCTCTGTGGTGATCTTCGAATGCCTTCTTTTTAGGAGGATATGTGTGTTGGGGGAGTTAACACAGGTTTTCTTTGTGTTGCCCTGGCTATCCTGGGACTGGCTCTGTAGACCAGGCTGGCCTTGAACTTACAGTGATCCACTTGCCTCTGCTTCCTCAGTGCTGGAACTAAAGGCATGCGCCATCCATCACCTTGTATAAGGGCAGTCCTTCCCATCCCAAAGCTGCCTCGGTCTCCCTTCAACAGGGAGGAATGATGCTTCTCTCTTAGGAATGCCAAGGCCCTTCTCTATTCTCAAATCTCTTGGCTCAATGCCCTCGGCCTCTCTTTTGCTCCACTAGTTGTGTCTTCAGGGCCTGGGAAAGAGCTCTCTGTGGTGTGGGCCCAGGAGGGAGCTCCCGTCCACCTTCCCTGCCGCCTTAAATCCCCCCACCTGGATCCCAACTTTCTGCGAAGAGGAGGGGTCACCTGGCAACATCAACCAGACAGGTATGAACTCTAAAGTTGGACAACAGAACCTCCCAATGCTATTCTAACGGATAAAACCCCGTCCAAGCCAGCTTTGTCCTCTTTGTGAGCCCCTCCCTCTGAAGCCAGTAGCTCAGTGTTCTCTAAAATCACAGAGCCTTCTTGTGGATTTTCTCTGCAACCTGCTCCCCACACACCTGCATCCTATAACCCCACCTCTCCAGTAGCACAGAGTGCTGAAGACCAACGGAAGTGGGGACAGGAGTAGTTACGGGGGAGAGGGGAGGCTGCTGATGGTCAAGAGGTCTCCTAGGCGGGTTAACTTTATCCTCAAAGCATGCTTGCAGTGCATCTTCTTCATGGTCTTTTCAAATTGCGCCGGAATTTCTCAGTCCCATTCTCTCTTCCCAACCAGTGGCCAACCCACTCCCGACCCGGCCCTTGACCTTCGCCAGGGGATCCCCTCGCTTAGGAGACTTGAACCCCGGCGCTACACGGTGCTGAGCGTGGCTCCAGGAGGCCTGCGCAGCGGGAGGCAGCCCCTGAATCCCCACGCGCAGCTGGAGGAGCGTGGCCTCCAGCGCGGGGACTTCTCTCTGTGGTTGCGCCCAGCTCGGCGCGCCGACGCGGGCGAGTACCACGCTACCGTGCGCCTCCCGGACCGCGCCCTCTCCTGCAGTCTCCGCCTGCGCGTCGGCCAGGCCTCGAGTAGGTGGGGCGGGACAAAGGGAGAGGGCCTGGGAAGCAGATCCCTGCTTCGCCGGGGCAGGGAGAGCAGTGGCTAGGGTTGTGCTTTAGGTCCTGCCTGAGGACCTCCAGAAGTGTAAAAGAAGGGACGGCCACTTGATGACAGGATGGAAAGGCAGGGTGGCAAGTGCCCCCTGAAACGCACGCCTCTAGGTGGGGATGAGGGGGCTATGGAGAAATTGTATCACACGCTCCCCCTTTTCCCCCACCTACAGCGCAGTGCTATCCTTGGTAGAGGAAGAGAAGGGGAAGCACCTTTCCTTTTGGGGGCTAGAGTGATTTATTTAAGATATTTGTAGCTGATTCTCAGGCCAGGTCTGCCCAAAGCCAACTAAAGTAGAGGCAGGAGACGGTGGGAAGGAGTCCTGGGTCTCTTGGAGATCCACTCTTAAGCACCCGCAGGGTTCAGGAACTGAGTTGGAATGGGCGGCTGTGTGGAGAATCTGAAAGCATTCCCCGTTTCCATGAGTTCTGAGCTTGGTTTGGCCAGCTGCGTTGAGAAAGTATTTCCATCTAGTGGACTGATTTTTTTTTTCCCTTTTTTACTTTTGCACAGTGATTGCCAGTCCCCCAGGAGCCCTCAAGCCGTCTGATTGGGTCATTTTGAACTGCTCCTTCAGTCGTCCTGACCGCCCAGTCTCTGTGCACTGGTTCCAGGGCCAGAGCCGAGTGCCTGTCCACAACTCACCGCATCATTATTTAGCTGAAAGTTTCCTCTTTCTGCCCCAAGTCAGCCCCCTGGACTCTGGGCCCTGGGGCTGTGTCCTCACCTACAGAGATGGTTTCAATGTCTCCCTCACGTACAACCTCAAGGTTCTGGGTAACTCTTCTAAACAGTCTTTGCTTTTCACCACAACCTTCCTGCTCACCACCTCCCTTGACTCATGGGCCCCCAAAACTGTTTCTCAGCTGTGTGTGGAGTCAGTGTCCAAACCATTTTCTCTCTGGGCATCTTTTAGCTGCTCTCCCTCTTACTTTTATTTATTTATTTATTTATTTATTTATTTATTTATTTTCATTTTAGCATGCATTAGTGCTTTGCCTGCCTATATGTTTGTGTCAGGGTGTTGGATCCCCTGGTACTTGACATACAGACACTTGTGAGCCACCATGTGGGTGCTGGGAATTGAACCCAGGTCCCCTGGAAGAACAGCCAGTGTTCTAAACTGCCGTCTCTCATTGTTTATCCCTTGGGTGTTC